ACTATGAGGGCTTTTTGTGCAACGTGGATAAGGCTTTCAAAATTAGCATATCAAATAACCTCATAGAGACTTTTTAGACAGATCAGTGATTACGGTGAGTATACGATGGCCACAAAATAACCATCTACTTGAGAAATTAATGTGAATAACTTTATGTCCATTGTGCGAAAAGGGTAATAAATGTGATCTTCGTATTGTGTGTCGCTTAATCTCAGTAGACCGCCTTTCAGGCAAATTAGTAAATATGAGCCTGCAGAGCATACTTATTGTAATCCTTCAAAAAAGATGCACCGTGACATATGGCTATGAGTTTCGTACAACATAGCCAATCACCAACAAAGTATCAGTGCTGTGAGTTTCAATTTCCTCGCAACCCAAAACAGTTAAGGTATCTGTTTTATAGCCCTTTGAAAATGCATATTCATAACATCTAGTTCATTAAAATTAAAATTACTGAATAAGCCAAGCATAGTATCTTGTAGGAAGAGACATCTACTTTCGAATAATATACTATGTGCTGCCAATAATTTCGGTTTTTTTTTACATTTTCAACATTAGAAAAGCGTCGCAAACATATCCGAATACAAGAGCTAATCAAAAATCGTTTTCATCTAGTTTTTGCAGAATGAAATTAGCAAATCAAAACCAAAAAAGTCTTTTTCTTGGTTACGATCGAATGGAAGGACGGCGAAATCGCAACACAAATAATTTTTCAAATAAGGAGAGCATATGAATATTGCAAAATTTTGCAATATGGGATTTCAACAGGTATGGCAACAAAACCATTGAAAGGCTTGAAATTATTAATATTCGAGTTTCATAGTTTCGCTAATCCATTGAAGGAACGTTTAACAAAGAAGGAAATAATAGTGGTACAAGCAAGAAAAATAGATTTGACATTAGTGAAAAAACTACATCTAATCCATTTCATTGTGCATGGCTACGCCATTTAGGGCTTCCCCTGTTAAACGAAAAAAGTTTAAAAGTAAACTATTGCTGTTATTCATTATTCATGCTGTTATTCATCATTTATTTATTTCCCTTGCTCTTATCCTGAAACTACGTTAACCTTTAAAAATTGAGGAAAAAAATGTTTACTGTCGCTTTATTTTTTGTTTGTCGTTCGATGATTTGAAGATTAAAGCTGAGCGCCGGGTTTCTGAAGAGAGAGTTAGAATATTTTTGAGAGAAGGAAAGGGAATCGTACAGGGTGTAAAAATTTAAGGGTCTTATTTCTGC